AATAATTTAGCAAAGAAAAAGGATTTTGGGTAAAAGCTTTTAAGCAAATTCTTAACAAATGACTTCCTGGCCTTCATACGAAAGGATAAGGTCAGTTGTAGTACTAAAGACTTATAATCATCACAATACCTATTTTCTGTATTAAATTACAGTTTTAATTGTCTGCTTACAAAATATTACATTTATTTTATAAATATTTTATTATATTAGTATAATTCTAATAATGGTTATAATTCTTGTTTATTCTAATTCGATGTTATAAAATACAAAGAAATATATATATTATACATATTATATTGTGGTGATTGATCTTGGAAAGTTAAAATATTTTGTATGGTGTTAAGGTTGTATGGTGTTAATAATAGTTAATTTTTATAAAATATTGTCATAAAGTAATAATAAAATGATATAAAAACGGAATATATAATAAACTATAATAATGTGAACACTGTTTAATATTTTTTTATTTTTCATAAGAATACACGGAACTCATTCTAAAAAAAGATCTCACCGGCTTTAATGTTGTTTTTGTTTAAACTCTGCTTAATGGGTTTGGTTCATCTATTTTTGAAGGAAAATTTTTTATCAAAATAGAAAAAGAAAGCTAAACAACAAATGCAACCAATTAACAATCACTGACGATTATGATTTCAACAAAAATAGAATAGAAAAATAACGAATGCAATTCAGAAATTTTTCAATTAACTTTGACCTTTCGAGCAACAAAATCCAATTAATCTACATGGATTACAAGGCTGCAGTATAAATTTTTCATCATAATCATTCGAGTGCAACCTTTTAAAATAAATAAAATATTTGTGCATTGTGGATTTTTCACAATGCTTTGTGTTCGGTTTTAAAATTCTTAACACATCAACTTAATCTTAATTGGTTTCCGATGTCAGCATTTAAAGTCGGAAAAATTTATTACAAAATGTTTAGCAGTTTTCCACTTAAACACAGGCAGATGAGAGACAAAATAGTTCCCGTGGTGTTTGAAAATTCATTGCACATGCAGCGTTAATATTGGAAAGTCTCCGTTTGCTTATATATTCCTACGGCACCGAAGAACCTTTCAGAATAAACACTGAAAAAAAAGGAAAATTGAAATAATAATATCTGCTGGATGCGATATAAGACACTTTAGGATAAGGAAATATTTATTTTAATTTTAGTGAAACAATTCTTTTGGCACCCACGCATTGAACATACATACATTATAATGCATATATGCATTAATCACACCGCCTTGAATGTTTTTATTCCCTGACAATCAACCTCTCAGCCGCGATTAGATGAAGTATTTCTAAATGAAGACGTCAAAACAATAATTATTTTATCTTTATAAATTAATTAAGATATGCGTTAGGCTGATTATGATTTATGTAGTTGAAGGGAGACACAGTAACATGTGTCGAAACATAGTAGAATTGTTAAGTAATAAGTAGTACCCATTGTTGTATTGTGAAATAAAATTGTATCAGCTGAAAGGAATGGCATTAGTATTTAAAGAGAATAGATTTATTTCATCAATCTGATATCACCAAAATGGCTACAAATGTTTCCTCAAACGAATCTATTTTCGATTGAAGAATGTACTTGCTACATTACTTGAGATGTGTAATTCAAGGATATTAATAGGACAGACAAAAACTTATCGAATATTGATGAATTATATAATTGTTTGATCAGGTTCAGTGTAGATAAAGCTAGATGATTAGTAAAAAATATATTCGTTGCCCATTTCGTAATCCTGATTTGACAATACTACTTTAGTGTCATATATAAATCATAATTGTTATCCAAAGCATCATATGTTTAGCCTAACTGGATTTTACTAAGAAGTTCATGTAAAATCTGTGGTTGGTTGGTTAGTTCCATGTACCTCAATTTGCGATTTTTTGCCATTTTGTTACCACATTCATCGCAAGAATCCTAGTATAGAATAGTAATGACAAAATTCATCCCGCCGAATTTAGATAATTCGTCTTCACCGATGAACAGTATGATCAACTATCAAAGAAGTATCTTTCTAAGAACCTATATCTTCTGAACGTCAAAGCCGGACATTCACAGAAAAAATATGTTATGGTATCTTTTTCTGCGGGTTTCCACAACTTCTGCAGTGTGGATTATGGGGAATGCGCAGTTTCTCAGCGTGGGTTTCTATACACCAATGACCAGAAAGAACTGCAGTAAGCCTTGCTGTGTTCACGAGGTCTCTTTTGATGAATTCGGAGAACCTATGTAAAATTTGTATTAATGTAAGTATTTTACCAGTGTATGGAGTTGTTTAAAGCCTTGTTACGCATTTTTTATAAAATCAAAAAATATTTAATAATAATTTTGTGTTTAAAACAATGAATTATTAAAAAATATTTAAAAGCTTTTATATTGTACATATAATAGTTTTTATAGTACATATTCAAATTATTTGCTGGAGTGAACTTCGATCGAATGCAAAGAAATCTAATTCCATTTCTTCTTTAATGAAAGTCTTAAAATTAATTAACTTAAGTCGTTTAAGAATACTTATAATCATAAGTTAAAAGACTCATAGAGCGACGAACCTGTAAAAGATATATGGAGTAAACATATGTCAGGAGCTCTTACATTGTTGTAAAACATATCGACGTTAAAAAAGTTGTTTGTAAGGGTGTAACTACTATAGCTACTAAAGAGGTAGAAAAAACGTTGGTTTAATGAAGCAAATTTTACTTTTACAACTGAAGTGAACCAACTGTGATTTTAGATAGGGGGCGCTGTAAGGCTTAGTTATAGAAGCACTGGTCCAACTATGAAAATTATACTTAATTTAATACTAATAAATTTTAAAGCGAATTAATTAAGCTATATATTTTTAGTACATATTTTTCATAATAGCAAGTGCTTTCATTAATTCTTCTGCTTAGAATTAAAAAAGAGAAAACCAATTTTAACAGAATTCTTAATGAAAATGAAAATTCTTAATGAAAAATGGATTATGATATAAATTAAACAAAAAAAGTTTCAAAAAGATTTCATGTACTCAAAATATAAAAATATATAGGTATATATCTAATATATCCAATAAAAAACAAAAATTATTTTGGAGAGGATATTAAGTTTGTAACACTAGCTCAAGATCCCAAACAGAGATATTTTATGTGGCAATACAAGTTTAGTAATAAACCTGATATTTGGTTTTTATTCTAAATAAATATTTGCTTCAAAATTATATCTAATAGAAACGGCACCCCTGCAAAACAAGAAGGGAAAGCATTCACTATGACATTATAATCGCATTTAATGGTAAACGAACATCACAAGTGGTTTTTATGTGATATTTTATGGATTGACAGTAAAAATAAGGGAAAAACATGCATCAGATGGATTGTCACAATACTGATATGATGATGTTAAAGAGGGCACATGATTGAAATCATAACAAATGCATTTGTTTCTGTTTAATGACGACTTTTTACGCGTTTACGTGACCGGCAGATAACAGCAACAAAAGGGTTCAATGCAATCGAGAAGTGTATTTTGCCGGTATTTCATGATTCGGAAATCATGCGGAAGAGTTCTTCTCACTGACATGAAACCCTTTCCTTTTCGCTTATTTGAACAGCTTCAGAATTAGCTTTAGTGTGTCGGACATTTAACGTTATTGTTTGTTGAATCCATCTGTTGGATTATTATTTTTAGAGATACAGAAAGTATAGTTGAAAAATATTTAAATAATTTTTTTCATTGAATTATCCACAAAAAATAAATACACTTTTGACTTATAATGATTTTTTTATGTGACATATGTGAGGGTGTTGGAAGTTTGTAACTGAAGTTAGAAAAGATAGGGCACTTGACATAGGCAATTCATCAACCACATCAATCGAAAATTTCGAAAACCATTTGTGACTGTTAAGTGATAAATAAATATTTTAACTAATAGTAACGTATTTAATCAATATATACGATCACAATCCCTAAGGTATTAATATGAAAAAACAAAATAAATATCTGCAAAAGGATTCTAATTACATATAGAATTATAAGAACCAGTAATTTATTAGGACAAAACCTTTTAACATTTCGTGGTCAATACATGATTTTAAAAGGAAACGTATT